TGTAGCTGCCTGGAAATAAAACCAGGAGTCCTGGTTCCCAGCCCCCTGCTCCGACCCACCAGACCCTGCTCCCTCCTGCAGCCAGCTCATTTCCCCTGGAGAACAGCTGCTCCATGAGCCCACCTGAAGGGAAATGGGGGTGGGGAGGGGTCATGCAAGCCCCCAGTGCTCAGACCCCTGCTGCTCCCAAGCTGGGCAGGGAGAGCTCAATGCAAAGCCCATGCGGAGCTCCTGCCCCCCACCCCACCCCTGGAGCTGAGGCTGGACCCCATCTCACCAGGCCTCTGGGTAGAGCTAACAGCACCCCCCTTTGCCACACCCACCGAGCCAGGGCACTGTCCCGACCCACCCAGAGCACTGCTGGCTTCCCCATTCCCCTTCCAGTGCCCCCAAACCCATGCGCAGGGGCAGTTCTAAACCCATCTCTGCCCTGATCCAGATGGGGAAGGGCTGGGTGCTACCAGGGGAGCTCAGAAGGGGAGCAGTTCCCTGACCCTGCCTGGACCCACTGGGTGGGGTCTCCCCAGCCCTCTCTGATCCCAGCTGGGGTGGCACACGGGGTCACCTTGCCCAGCTGACACTCTCCTCCCAGGGGCTGTCGCCCGTCCATCCCCTGGCACCCAGCCTGCCACAAGGCATGGGACAGGCCAGTTCAAAGCCCTTCGCACCCACTTACAGCCTCCAATCTGCACCCTTCACGTCTCTGAGCTTCCCCCACATAATGCCCCATTTCCCCTCTCTAGAGGCATACCTCTGCCTCCCTGCTCCCCCCCCGGAACTCCTGCACCCCAACCCCGCCCCTCCCCAATCCACACTCCCCAACAGCCTTATGCCTCCTGTTTGTAATGCCCCCCCGGACATACACTGGAGACAAACGGGCATCTCCGCCCCCTCCCCGGTCCTTGGGAACGCGCTGGCATCTCCCTCCACACTGGTCCCTGGGGATGCTCTGGCATCTCGCCCCCCCACCCAGAGTCCCTGGAGTGCATTGGCACCTCCCTCCATGGCACGGTCCCTGGGGGCACGCAGGCATCTTCCCCCCACAAGGTCCCTGGAGGCGCACTGGCATTGACCCCTCCCCATCCCGGTCACTGGGGGCACGCAGGTATCCCCCCCACAAGGTCCCTGGGGGCGCACTGGCATTGACCCCTCCCCATCCCGGTCACTGGGGGCACGCAGGTATCCCCCCCACAAGGTCCCTGGGGGCGCACTGGCATTGACCCCTCCCCATCCCGGTCACTGGGGGCACGCAGGTATCCCCCCCACAAGGTCCCTGGGGGCGCACTGGCATTGACCCCTCCCCATCCCGGTCACTGGGGGCACGCAGGTATCCCCCCCACAAGGTCCCTGGGGGCGCACTGGCATTGACCCCTCCCCATCCCGGTCACTGGGGGCACGCAGGTATCCCCCCCACAAGGTCCCTGGGGGCGCACTGGCATTGACCCCTCCCCATCCCGGTCACTGGGGGCACGCAGGTATCCCCCCCACAAGGTCCCTGGGGGCGCACTGGCATTGACCCCTCCCCATCCCGGTCACTGGGGGCACGCAGGTATCCCCCCCACAAGGTCCCTGGGGGCGCACTGGCATTGACCCCTCCCCATCCCGGTCACTGGGGGCACGCAGGTATCCCCCCCACAAGGTCCCTGGGGGCGCACTGGCATTGACCCCTCCCCATCCCGGTCACTGGGGGCACGCAGGTATCCCCCCCACAAGGTCCCTGGGGGCGCACTGGCATTGACCCCTCCCCATCCCGGTCACTGGGGGCACGCAGGTATCCCCCCCACAAGGTCCCTGGGGGCGCACTGGCATTGACCCCTCCCCATCCCGGTCACTGGGGGCACGCAGGTATCCCCCCCACAAGGTCCCTGGGGGCGCACTGGCATTGACCCCTCCCCATCCCGGTCACTGGGGGCACGCAGGTATCCCCCCCACAAGGTCCCTGGGGGCGCACTGGCATTGACCCCTCCCCATCCCGGTCACTGGGGGCACGCAGGTATCCCCCCCACAAGGTCCCTGGGGGCGCACTGGCATTGACCCCTCCCCATCCCGGTCACTGGGGGCACGCAGGTATCCCCCCCACAAGGTCCCTGGGGGCGCACTGGCATTGACCCCTCCCCATCCCGGTCACTGGGGGCACGCAGGTATCCCCCCCACAAGGTCCCTGGGGGCGCACTGGCATTGACCCCTCCCCATCCCGGTCACTGGGGGCACGCAGGTATCCCCCCCACAAGGTCCCTGGGGGCGCACTGGCATTGACCCCTCCCCATCCCGGTCACTGGGGGCACGCAGGTATCCCCCCCACAAGGTCCCTGGGGGCGCACTGGCATTGACCCCTCCCCATCCCGGTCACTGGGGGCACGCAGGTATCCCCCCCACAAGGTCCCTGGGGGCGCACTGGCATTGACCCCTCCCCATCCCGGTCACTGGGGGCACGCAGGTATCCCCCCCACAAGGTCCCTGGGGGCGCACTGGCATTGACCCCTCCCCATCCCGGTCACTGGGGGCACGCAGGTATCCCCCCCACAAGGTCCCTGGGGGCGCACTGGCATTGACCCCTCC